TCTATATATATAATAATAGCATATATATATATTTATATGTTAAATATATGTAATTAGTATTACGCAGATATAATAAGACTGAGTATATGTAAGTGATTATATATAGTATAGAATTTATATAGTTAATGTATATATAGTATATTAAGGGAGGGAGGTATATATATAAATGTATTATACTATGTATATAATGAATATATAGTATATTATATATATATATATATATATATTACTATATATATATAATATATGTATATAATGTATATTTATTATATATATATATATATATAATATATATTATATATAGACTGAGTATAGTATAAGGGAAGGGAGGGAGGGGAGAGGGAGGGAGGGAGGGAGGAGGGGAGAGAGAGGAGAGAGAGAGAGAGATGAGATGTGAGTTGTCGATTTGAGAGTTCATACATGAAGTATATGTTATACCTATATATATAATATATTTACATATACATATAGTATGTGAAGTGAAGTGAGAGAAAGAGAGAGAGAGAGAGAGATGGAGATGATTCCCTTGGTTTTTCTACCCCCCCGATGAGAGGAGAGAGGGATGAGAGAGAAAGAGATGAGAGAGAGAGAGAGAGAGGAGAGGAGAAAGAGAGAGAGATAGAGAGAGAGAGAGGAAGCAGGAGACACGAGAAATTGAGAAAAAAGAGAGACAAAGAAGAGAGCGCTGGTAGTGACAGAAGAGAGAGGAATGACGAGCATAGTGAGGAGACTCTGAGAGACGAGAGAGACGAGTAGTAGAGAGAGAGGAAGAGAGAGCATGACGAGAGAGAGGATGTGAGAGTGGAGAGAGAGAGGAGAGGAGATTACGAGAGAGCGAGAGAGACGAGAGAGAGAGAGAGATGAGCAGAGATGAAGAGAGAGAGAGATAGAGAGAGAGAGAGAGGATGAGAGATGAGATCGAGAGAGAAGAGAAAGAGGACGAGTTACCGATCAATTTATGGTGAGAAAACAAATTGGTAGCTCTACCGACATGAGTAAATTTGAGTCCTAAGCCAACCTGAGACAGATAACTCTACCTACACCGAACCGAAACTATAGAAAGACGCACCAACGATAAGACAAATAGACCTAAGACTCGCGACGAGAAACTTGCCAGACATAAGGAAGCATAATTACAGTGAGAATTAATATGAAATATGCATGCAGATACAGAGGTAATATATAGAAAACGAAATTGGGAAGAGGGGTACAGTAGTTAATGCACGAACTAAAGTAAAGATATACCACTAAAAAAAATAGCCATATAGACACGAAACATTACAGCCTAATACAGATTCGCCTAGAAAACCAAAAATCGAATTCAAATCTGGATATCTGTGCCTTACTTTCAACCATTATTCTGTGGATGGTATGAGTATATGAACATCACGACCTCACAGCCACCTTGATAACCCATCCTAGTCCCCTGGGCCCTCTTCCCCAACCCGCTCAAAATCCACCACCCAAACCTCCCCAGACACCCCATTAGCACTACATTCAGGCCCAACAGACGAAGAGGACACGATACAAACACCAAATCACCGAAGGGAGCAATATTTGTTAGGCTGTTTGAAGCTAGAGACGACAGAGTAATCTACGATTCATGAAATGTAATTGAGATGAGATAACCGATAGACTAATATTATTGCATACTCTTTAAGATTCAGTGCAAGTCCGTCTGTATACCCTCCAGCTTAATCGTGTTGTATACCTAGACTCGGTGTATAGACCTAATAGTGTATAGACGCTGCTCTAAGATGCAGGTGAACGTGAAGACCTTATGCAGGTGGATTAAAATGTAATTTTACCATGCAAAGAATTATGTGGTAGAACATAACGTACTGAAGTGATCTACTTAAGTATAACTGTGGTGGCTTAATAAGCACATGACCTCCAAAGCCGATTATATTTTTTGCGAACCCTAACGATACTAAATAACGTCCCTCTCACCAAGCACACACCTACTATGTCACACACACCGCGAGCACCGCATCACACCATATCCACGCTAGGCACGCATACACACAATTCAAGGATGTGACACCGAGAAAGAACGCACAACATCCATATGGAAGCACACAACCGACACACACTATGAATCTCCAGCGTCAAATCGTGCAGCACATACCACTAACACACCTATAGACACAGCCACCGCCCACACATCAACAAACTTAACACCACAACCAAACAACCGCAGAGCCACTCAGAACAAAAACGCACACCGCACCGCACAGATGACAGCCCACAAGACTGCCTGACTCAACGACACACAACGCATCAGACTACACACGACGACGACAGTGATCCCACTCACAATTCACCAACATTATCTATACACGACAGACGAAATTGGCCGTTATCTACACGCACACACACAGGCACAGAACACGCACCGCACAGACACACCACCACACACACACCTATGTCTTACATCATAAGAATGGCGTTGATAATAAAGAAATAACACCAAGTAATAAAAAGATTAAACTACACGAAG